CTGCCCGGCTCACTACTCCACCCCCGAATTTTACCTAGTTGTAGCAACTTGCTTCTTTTTTTTTAATCATTATTGGTATTTTTTTCACTGACGCCTCCCGTGCGTTTTTCGATTGCAGGTCGTCCTTGCAGTCCGGTTTTTAACTGCATTTTGTCTGCAGATCTTCCCTTTGTTTGCACACAGCCCCTTTTTTATTTTTTAAGTTTTTTCCCCCCGTCGTTGTTGTTCGTTGTTAAAGTCACTCTTTTTTTGGGGGGCGCTGTATTTAAACACTTAAAATGCACTGCTATCTCCTGAGCGTGCTTCTCACCGTGGATCTGGCCACCGTGGCTTTCAGCCTGTCTACCTGCAGCACCCTCGACATGGATCAGTTTATGCGCAAGAGGATCGAGGCGATCCGGGGGCAGATCTTGAGCAAGCTGAAGCTCACCAGCCCCCCGGACGAGTACCCCGAGCCCGAGGAGGTGCCCCCGGAGGTCATCTCCATCTACAACAGCACCAGGGACCTGCTGCAAGAGAAAGCCAACCACAGAGCTGCCACTTGCGAGAGGGAGAGGAGCGACGAGGAGTATTATGCCAAAGAAGTTTACAAAATAGACATGCAGCCTTTTTACCCTGAAAGTAAGTCCTCTGTGTTTGTGCATGTGTGTGTAATTTCGCCCCCGAGGCTTGGCAGTGCCCAGCGCCTTCAAATACCAGCCCCATGCATCATCGTCCGCCACCTTTGCTCTTATCCTCAGCATCTCTTAGGTGGTGGCTTCATATAGGTGGGGGACCATCTACCTGAGCAAAGCTCCCCCCTCCCTCCCGGCATCCCGCTCCCTCCCTAGCACGGGGCTTAGCTCCCCCGCAGTCCCATCTGCAGCCTCCAAAAAGAGCCAATATCTTTCCACTGCTCTTGTTTCCCTTGGAGTGTCTGGATCGGGCAGGTTTCCATCTCTCCATAACTGAAAAGAAAAGGAGGTCTTTTAAAAGAAAAAAAAAAAAAAGTCACCGGCTCCTCTTCTGTCTGCGCCCCCCTAGAACGTTGTCCCACAGACCGCTCTTGGGGTTGGTGCTCAGAGAGGAGAGAGACTTGGACATCCTCCCTCCTCGTCCCACTGTAACTAGCCTGTCCTTTCAGTTCATGGGCGCTTTTCATTTCAGCTTACAGAAAGAGTTTTCCCTTCTGGGTAGCTTCGGTTCTTGGAACCTGTCTCAGCCCGTCTGCCTTTTGCTGTTTTTTAACGACTTTCTGGTGATCCATGCCACGTTTTGCACAAAAAAATAAAAGGGGTGTGTGTGTGTGTGTGTGTGTGTGTGTGTACAAATGCTCTGCGCTGACCAAATCCACTTAGAATGATTAAGAATCCTAACGGCGTGCCTTTTTGTTTTGGTAGTGAAGTTTAAGTGTATAGAGGGGAAAAATAAAGAAAGAAAAAGCACCGTACTCCCTTAAAAGAATCTAGATCATCATCATACCGAGGAAAGTGAAATACCAGAAGCAGAAAATAACTTCACCGTTTGCATATCCAAACCCTAGTCCCTACTCTTCTCGTTCAGCTCGCTTTTCTCTGTCTTCCTTCCCCCGCCACTTGATGCCCTATATACTTGCTGTCTGTTTTTGAAAAGCACATATACCTCTTGCTTAAATAGATAATGCAGCCATCTTGGTAACTTTATCCTAGAGTTTCTAATTGCATTTTCCCCTTATTTATTTTTAGTTTAGCAAGTTGTAGCTTTGGGGCTTGCTCCGTCTTGCATGTGATAGTCCTAGGATGCCAGCCAAGGTATCTGAACCCCATGCTCGGTGCAGCTGCCTCCCTTTCTTCCTTTATTCTTAAATGACAGCATCAGGTACAGGACATCCTGGAAGTCAGAGCCATTTTATTATTGTAATTATGGCACCATCCGCAATAGCCATGATAAATACACTCCACCCTTGTTACCCTCGGGGAAGAAATACTTTTTTTTTTTTTTTTTAACGTATACTTGGAGCCAAGTGGGTACGAGCAGAGACGTTCCGTATAATTCATAGCCACAGCGAGAACAGAGAAATCATGCCCGTAATCCACGTTGGTGTACTGTAGTATTTTGCTGGTGGTTTTGGTGGCAGTCAGCACTTTGTTTTGAGCCCTGAGCGATCGTGCCCTGAGCAGAGGAATGAGCACCTATGGGCAGAGGTTAGGAAGACCGATAGCGGTGGCTTGGCTGGTGGAGTTGACCCTGTAACAGAGAGTCTCTGAGAACTGTAAAATGCATCCATCCTGAGCACATCTGCCCTTCTTCCTCGCATGAGCACACTGCGAAGAACCGATGGTCCAAAATGCAGCTGCATACTTTCCAGAAAATTAAAATATCTGTGGTGTGTGACTTGGATGGTGTTGACAAAAGAGGATCTATTTTTAAAGTGTTGTCAGAGGCCAGATTTGTACTGAAGTATCGATAGGGGTTTTGGAAGAGCAAAGGAGATTGCAGGTATCTACCAACAGAGTGCATCAGACGTTTGGGATCGGAGGGCCAGTCAGCAGCGGATCCAGTACTACTGTGCGAGGGCTGTCGCTAACATCAGAGTAAGTAGGTTAACTGTTTTTCCACTGCTCTCTAGTTATGCTGGATGGAGCGAACCTTTCCAAAAAAGACAGAAAGGAAGAAATCGCTCCACCATATTTTAAAGGAAGAAATTGAAAGCGCAGCTCTGGCGGCCCCCGGGCGCTTTTCTCCTAGACGTCTCGGAGTGAATTTTTTTAACTCTACGGTTTCTGCTGCGTCGGAGGGAGGCAGGAGGGAGAAGGGGATCAGTGTGAACGCACTGGAGGTCACAAGCTGCTGGAAGGAAGGCATGGGAAAGATCAGTGGTTCAGTTTTTACCGCAAGTTGTTAGCGTTCAGTAACTGACTACAACCCAAGTATTACAAATATGCTCTAATTATACTCATAGTCAGCAATATATCACTACAGATCGCTGATAGGTCTTTGTGGGGCATTTTGCAAAGTTCAGACTAAATATTTTTAGCAATGAGGAGATTTAAAAGGAAAACTATAAGAGATATTGTATATACCCTAAGGCATATTTTGTCTTAAATATTTTCCTTGGCCAACTGTACTGTATAAATACAGTAAATATGAATAGAACTGGCAAGATGCCAATCTCCTGGGATGAATTTTAGTCAAGAAGGTATTTATGGGATATAAATAATACTGTGTCAACATTTAAAGAAGGGATCTGATTAGTTTTGAATTTATTCATATTAATCTTTTCACATGCTGTTAGTTTAAGGCTCAAAGTAAAGTTATGCTAAGGTTTACTGATAGTTTGCACTGAGGAAGTAAGGGGGCATCTGGCATCTGGCTTGACAGTCCAGCTGAGGTTAAAGACACATCAGGTCAGAATATGTGTGGAAATTCAGCGAGTCAGGGAGTGCCGGACCCAAAACCAACAGATGTGAAAAGCGGTGGCGGAAGAAAGTACTACAAAGAGGTTTGGAAAAAACAAAAAGCTTTTGTCTGTCAAGCATGCCTGCCTGCATTGTGCCCGCGACAGCGTGGATTAGATACTGAAAGCCTGAATCTCTCCTAAATCCTGTTGGCAGTCAGAAATCGAGTTGTTTTACGGAGCGGTTTAAAGAGGGAGGTGGGATATGGAAGCTGAGCACAACATCAGAGAGAGTTCTCGCGAATTCTGTGCCTGGGCAAAGTTACCTGAGTAGGGGCTTAATACTGATTTCTGTGAAAGCCGAATCGCATTAGAAGTTCATTACTTATCAGTTCTTCCTGGATTATCTACAGCCTGATAGTTAAGCTATTTGAGGCTGGGTGATAATTGCCATTGCACTGATAATAAACAGAAATTTAATGCCAGCACAGTTAAGGATCGTGAATTGTAAAACTAATGCATAACTGGGATACTCGAGAGAAACAGGCAATGCATGTGTGTGGGGCCTGGGGACCAATTCCGTCATCTTCATTCATGGCAATTTTTATCATGGTTGATGAGCTGGTCGGTACTGATGGCTTAAGGCTAATGCAGGTAAATGTTTTAAATTTTACGCTTTCTTGGAGATAGGTCTGTAAGTACTCAGTAGCCTAAGAAATCACAGTTCTTCTGGGTTTGGGACTGGTTTTGCATGCATTTTAAACTACTGTAGTATGAAGGAGCCTCCATGGGTTCCGACCTGCACTGGGTGGTTCTCAGGAGCTCTGTACCATGAATATTGCTTTACATAGACCGTCGTTCTGCTGAATATTCGCCTCATGAAAGACAACATTATAAACTGGCTGGGCACAATGACATGCTTCTACTTTATCAACAAGGACTCGATTTACCAGCAATTACATGTATGCGGGCTCCTTGTCTTAAGGGTACCAGAATTACTCGTGCAGGAGTGGCCGTGCTCCACATCTGCCGGCACTGGCTGCATCATTACCACGATGTTAACAGCTATGGCTGTGCAGCTCGCGTGTGTTTGCATTTAGCAGAACACAGAACTTAATCTTTCAGGATTTCCTATGTTGTTAATGATACGGAAATGGTCTCAGAAGGAATACCATATTTTAAAACCTCCTAGCTATGCCAGCCTTATGGTTGTGCTCTGGAGCACCTCTTATAGGAAGCGTTTGCCAGGCTTACTCTCTGGTTTGCAGAGAGGACCTGAAGCTATGAAGGACTTCCCTGAGGAGAGATGTGGGAGGAACTGTTCTCTGCTCCTGGTTCATGAATGGCACTTGCTGCAGTCTTCCTAGGTGGCAATGAGAAAAAAGAGGCAATTGCAAATGGCTTTAAAAAGGGGCAGGGTAATTCTCTGGACAGTAGTCCTCTACATACTAAGAGGGATAATAAAATAACATGCACTAACCAAGGGCAGCTGAAATCAGAGAGACCTCTCTTCTTCCACTCATATGGAGCAGACGGTGGATGCACCGTGCATGTTTCCTGCCTGCCTTCTGAATCCCTGATGGCTTGCTGTAAGCAGGGTGCCAGGCTGGGAGAGGGGGAGATCCACAAGCTGGTCTGGCATGGCGCATGGTCCTTGTGTTTCTTCCAGAGGATGAAGCCTACGGAAAAGCAAAACACCCACGACCACCCTCTTTAACGCTGCAAGGTCAGAAGACCTGCAAGACAGAAACGTAGGGCTATATTGCCGAGTCCTTTCAGTAACCCTCCTTGAGTTGATCTCTGGGGTCTGCTTTAAAGAGGCACTTTCACACTAATTTGGTGAGTGAAGAGGTTAGATGTGGGTCACTGCCTCTGCCGCTTCCCAGCCCGTTGGCAGCGTGACTGTTTTGCAGTCCCAGAGACCTATCTGGAGATGTGCCCTTGCCTTCTGCTCACGGCTGGAGGTGTGCAGGGAGTGCCCAGGGCTCACGCCACTCTTGCTGGCTCCACTTAATTGCAGGACTGGGTGCGAGTAGGTGATTGTGCGAAGAAAGCAGAGCATAGTCTTCCTTAGCTGCTGGTTTTAGCCTTGCTCATCCTTGGTGTGCCGCGTGAGAACAGCAGTGGTCATCAGGATGACTGTGTTACTTGGAAGTTAACTACTCCCAGCGTTTTGCTGTCAATTTGAGATTCCTGCCTGCACCAGAGCTGAGCAAAAAGATGAATGAGAACTCCTGGCTGCCGTCCTCAGTGAGCTTCTTCAGCATGGGTCTGAAA